TGTAGTCACACGCTGATGAGTGCAGTGTGCAGGGCTCACGCACACACTGTAGTCACACGCTGATGAGTGCAGTGTGCAGGGCTCACGCACACACTAGTCACACGCTGTCCAGACAGGATTCACGCACGCACTGTAGGAAAGAAAAACAAGTTGTTGTGACTGTATTCGAGGCGACAGTAATTAATCTGAAGATAACTGATTATAAACACCCATGCAACTGTCACACATTGTGATTTAGACCTGTAATCCCAGCATCTCTGAAAGTGGAGGTCACTTGTGGCTAGGGAAGAAGTTAGTGACAGTCCCCCATATCAGCAAGCAAGCTAGGGGTGGTGGCTCACACTTGTGATCCCATCTACCAGAGGTACAGGTAGGAGAATCGCAGCCCAGGGCAGCTCTAAGCAAAAGCATAAGACCCTACCTAGTTAAGACAAAAAGGGCTAGAGGTGTGGCCGACATGGTGGAGTACCCGCCTGGCTGGAATGCAGCCCTGTGGTCTCTTTCCAGTACCATCAAAACAGACACTGACCTCCCATGCCCCAGCCCTGGGTGCTGTCGCCAGGTCTGCTGCAGTGGGAGGCTGGATCCCTGTCACTCGGCAGGCGCTCACTCCAGCACCTTCCTTGTGAACATGGAGGCCCGCAAGCACAAGGGCACGCACCACGCTGTGCTTCACAGGGGAGGGAGCCCACTGAAGGGTGAACTGTCTGCTCTGCGGTGGGGGGACCTGGGGTGTCTTCTCTGCTCCCCTTCCCCAGCACCTTTGCCACCACGCCTGTGGGATGCGTGCTTTGAGCTCTTAACTTTTTAAGTGCTTGCTGTAGGCAGACACCATTCAAGATTTAAGAACATTTTCAAACATGGAAAGTTCCAGGGAGATTTAAATATGTGTATATGTCAGGGCGTCAGTAGTTACTCCAACGGTAGTTACTTTAGAGTCCACCTTTATTGGTCAGCTACCAGGAGATGTCAGAGCCTTGGGCCCAGGGCTGGCTGAATCCACCAGTGGCTCTGCACCGCAACATTGTATCTGCTGCTGAATTACTTCTTCCCCTGTGTATCACTCAAGTACTAAATTGACTCCTCTGCTCAGGCTTGCCTCTTTTCTCCCTTCTTTTTTTCTCATTTGGGGTTTGTGGGAGTTTTGAGAGCTGCGGAGAGGACTGTGCAGTGCAGAGGCCGGACAGTGATACTGCTTTCACCTTTGGGATAAACATGAAACAGAAGACCAAACGCTCACCCTGCCCAGACTTTCATTAATGACTTCCACAGCCACTGTCTGGGGCAAATCCTTGTGAAGTTTGGCTTAGAAAGGATGGCTCTGGAGGAATTCTTTCCAGCCAATGTTTTCCTGTTAGGAGATGCTAACCATCATCTTGAGTGACGCCCGAGCGGCAGTCTCTCCATCCCAGCCTTCCCTCTTCCGCACATTTCCCACCGGTGCTCGTCCAACATTCCTGCGTTGCTCGGAGGGACTCCGGGAGGCTGTGCTCTGAACAGCAGGCCGGCTTCATGCCGTAAGAAATGAGGGTCTTTGCTGGAAGGTTCCATGGGCCCTTGCTTCTTTATCCCTACCTACAGTGAAAACACTGGGCTGGGAGGTGATGTCCACGTCAGGTGGAGAATGGATAGCCGGAGCAGATAGACACCGAATGCTAAGATTGTCTCTGTGCCATGTTAGTGGAGAGACTAGAAATGAAGTGAGCTGGTATAGGTTGGGGGCCAGAGATCTCTTGAGTGTCTCATGCAGAATCAGCCATTTGCATTCCTGTCTAAAATAAGAGCAACTGAACCGTGAT